CCTGATAAAAATCAAATTAATTACACTATTTTTTATAGAATCCCATTTCCGCCAGTGAGGCTTCCATAGTACCCGGATTGAATAGTGCACGGTGGGCTTTTAAAAAATAGTTTTTATTTACGTAGACAGAATATGAAATAAGATACAGAAATAGGCAGAAGAATTCACAATTATAAAAGCTGAAACATACTTTTTACGTATTTCCATTGTATGTCCTTTTTTACTTAAAAAAGAAAGTCTTCTTTAGCTCAGCTGGCAAGACTCAGGTTCGAGCCAGTGCAGCGAGGCATGAACTAGGGTGGGAGCGGCGAGGGCACAATCCCTAGAACCCGAATCCGTTACAATAACAAAAGGACAGACAATGGAATACGGCTATTTCGAAGTCACAAATGTGAGATATAAAGTCGCAATTCTGAGTTGCTAAGTCGCAATTCTGAGTTGCTAAGTCGCAATTCTGAGTTGCTAAGTCGGAATTCTGACTTGCTAAGTCGCAATTCTGAGATACTAAGTCGCAATTCTGAGATAGCATAGCGCGTTTTTTTTTTTCCTCCCTGGCGGAAACGGGCTTCCATAGATAGCTGATGTGTGGTGAGCGTTCTGGCGCACTATGGCTGCCGTCGCATCAAACAGGTGGATGCTGCACATTGGTGGTTGTGGGGAGTCCCCATTACCTGTAAAGCGCTTTGAGTGGAGTGTCCAGAAAAGCGCTATATAAGTGTAAGTTATTATTATTATTATTATTATTATTATTAATAATAATACAGCTAGGTTTGGGTGAGAATATGTCACTTCCGTTTTTAATTCACTTTGATCAGAAAGTTCAAAACCATAATGAAAACTTAAAGTAAACTGTACATGAGCATCCAATACAAAGTGTTGTAGTAGCTTATCCTATTTACCATTCAGATTTAATCAACTCAGTACTGGGCAATCCTCTTCATTAACATAATGTCTTATTTATTTTTATTTCGAATATAATGTTTTACTTAATGAAATATGGTATTAAGGATTAATTACTCTCATTAAACAAAATTGCTAACATTTCAGTTGAAGATCACCATAGAATTAAGACTTAATTGTATTGCTTTGTGTTTTTTTATTTTAATAAGATTTATAATTATGCAGCTAAAAATTGTAGAACATTCACATAAGTGCAGCATTAAATCTGAAAGAAAGAAATATATGAATCCTGCATTCACCATAACCCCTCAGTATAAATGTACAGTACTGTACCAGAAGTAACCAATAAGTAAGGGTGGGTGTTTTAAGGTTGGGGTGGGTGGATTCACCTACTGTGTGCTTTTTATCTTCAATTGAAGGTGAATTTAAAATGGTAAAATTTGGTAAACTGTACAAGTTTATTTGTGTCAGAAGAAAAGCTCAGTCTTTTTATTGTGCAAACTGAGGGACAACAGCATGTTTTAACTTCTTTAAGCAACAAACTAATCAATCTATGCCCAGTTAGCTCTTCATATAAAGGAATCTTAAAAGGAGTTTTTCTTCAAATTTGAATAAGTTTTTTGAGAGACACCACAAGAGTAATATTGGTCAAAAGATAATCTGCTTGAAAATGAACACGTAAGTAAATATCACTGAGCCATATATCATTCATACACCTGATGTTACTTTGTCATGAATATAGAATATTGTCATGAAAATATCACATATATACACATATGTGTAGAACTGCTGGATTCTTTTTGCCTAGGGACAGTTTTAGCCTAGGGACAGTTTCAGTTTTTGTAATATATACTATATAATGTTACCATTAATATGAGATTTTTTTCTTCCTAAATATTTTACACTTCATTGAAATTGTGCACATATATCCTCCCTAACTACATTAATGAATTGACTAATAAGATTAAATTATTCAGTTTCTTGTCTTTTCCCTCTCTTTGAGTGGAGAGTTTCTATTTAAAAAAGTTAGCAGGGATGTAAGGGTCACAGAACATGTAACTAAGGTATGATGTAGTAATATCATGCTGTGGGTCGCAGGGTAGGCTGATGTAACCATTTTGCAATCTAATGACAAATGTCTTTTCCTATTAGTGGACCTTTTTCCCCCAAGTTTCAAAAGTTATGCAGTACCTCAGCAGTAGAGTCAGATTAAATTTGAACTTTGAAGGGTAAAATATATACAAGATCCTGTTGTTAATTTTCCTAGTAGTTCTCATCTAAAAGCTTGCAAATGCCATTTGTCTTCGGGTTAACAGAAAGACTAGATATGGGGCAGCTGAATTATTTAAGCTCCCACAACACATGCACTTTTGCTTTTCAAGCATGAGTTATAATTTAATTAGAAACTTCTGGTGCATTGCTGGCTATTTAAATATTAAAATGTTCCGCTGATCACTTTCGATTAGCCACCCTGGTGAAATTCCTTAAGATGTCAGTGGGATTTCCCCCCCCCCCTTCATGTTCCCAAACTTGCGCTTGAAATTGTTTGTTGATACAAAGGGGACCTTGGTAATTACATTCATCCATTAGAATCAACAGAGGAGTGAAACTTTAGGGAGGTTTAATGGGCACGTCTCTGTGACAGCTAGCAAAGAGCATCTGGCATGATTAGTACCCAATTGGAAGCTAGTTGAAAATGTACTCTCATTATGGCTACCCACTGGAAGTTGCTCTAAAAATGCTTAAATTTCCCCGCAGTGAAGTGGTGGGACAGGAAAGCTTGAAACCTCCAGGGGCATCTCTCAGTCACTGCATGCCTCTCCGCTGTCACATTGATTTTGCGATGCACTGTTTGTCTTTTGAATGAAACCTGTTGATGTATCACTGTATGTGTGTGCTTTTAATCGGGCCTTTGCTGTTCTCTCCTCAGATTGTTCAGCGGTACAGTAAGGAATGGCTGGAGAGGAAAAAGCTCCCTTTCGGGACCATCAGCAGCTGTGTGCTCCTCATGATTATTTACACCACCTTCTGCGACACTTTCTCCAACCCCACCATTGACTTGGACAAGTTCAGCCTGATCGTCGTCATCCTCATCAGTAAGTGTCACCCTCCCCCGGTTAATAATCTGCTCCTGCCCTTGTGGCAGGTTGCTCAATCGTCTCTGGCCCCTCTCGCGACATCTCTAGTTAATCACCAGTGGCAAAGATTTAATAGTGATCCCTAGCCATGGGCGCCCGCGCTAATTATAAGTCAGCATCTACTTTAATCTTGTCCAGACTTATATTTATCCCTTTATGTATTAAAGCAATTTGTTAGCTTTGGAGTCAAATCTTGAAATGCCTGGGATAGGAAGACAAGATTTATATGATATGAATTAAGTCTGAATCAGAGTGTGATACCTCACCTGTCTTTACTTCAGAAATAGCTACAAGAGAGAACATGTCAAACACAGTATGTAACCAGGCTTGGGAGTGGGAGCACCTGAATGCTGTGATGCATCTTACAGAGACTGTGTAAGCATGTAAAAACCCTGAACGTGAACCAACAGGACTAGAGAAGAGTTCTCTTTGCCTTTTTTGAGTTCCCTCCAATTAAGCAAAGTCATACAGTAAAGAACCTTACATGACTTACATGCTCTCTGTATGTTTCCCGGGTGTGTTTTCTGTTGTTTTGTTTTTGTTTTAGAGGACTTTTCTTAACTTGGCTTGGAGATATACTTTTTATGAAAAATACTGAAAGCTTACAGCCATCTATCCCAAATCAGAAAGGCCTTTGTTCTTAGACACCCAGAGCTTGTGTCAGAAACATGGGGTACAAAAGAGGACTACACTCCGCGAGACACCAGTCCCTGTCAGGTCACACACGTTCCCACGTGATGTTCAGAGATGGCAGCGTGTTCTTCAAAGTTGGGAGGAAACGAGAGCATTCACTAAAAGCCTGGAGAGACATGTTTGAACGCTACAGAGAAAGTACCCCAGTTCAAAATTACTGATAAGCAGCAGTGCTATCTGCAATCATATGGCAAAATCATAAAGAAGAAAAGAGAATTAATGAATGCATTCATTTTTCATCTATCCATCCATTTTCTAACCGCTTTGTCCAATATAGGGTTGTGGCGGGGGGCAGATCCTACCTCCTCAAGTTATGGGCACAAGGCAGGATACATCCTGGACTTGATGCCAGATATCGCAGGGCGCACACATACGGTAACACACTCACAGTGGGGTCAGTTTTTCCAGAATCAAATGAACTGACTAGTATGTCTTTGAACTGTGAGACAAATCAGCGCACCTGAAGAAAACCCAATCCAGCTCATGCAGAACATGCAAACTTCACTTAGAAATCACCCCAGGAATAAACCCGGGGCCCCAGCACTGCGAGACAGCAATGCTGACCACTGTGCCACACAAACTACAGGACACATGTAGAAACTGAGAAGAGGAGACACATCTTTGTGCAGAGTATGAAACAAGCTGCCTCACCACCATATAATAGCTGATAATTCTTTAGAAAAAAGCTAAATGATCAATTACAGTAGCTACTGAAAAAACAAGCATGATGGACTAAATGGTCTTCTCATGTTTATAACCATTAGGACGTACTGTACCTGTGCATAGAAAACAATGTATATAATCATGCAGTAAATTTGAACAGAAAAAATGAGAAGATGGATTGAAAAGCATCCTTTTATTGAACTTAATTGTTACAAAATGATAAAAACATAAAAATGAATTTTGCCCATCTTGCTTGATTGATTACCAGTGGCTGATGAATGACAATGTTTGATAATGATGGCCATTCAACAGCTTCAACAGCATGGGTTGAATCTTTAATAATCTTATTTTAATTTTTATCATCTTTATCATCATATTTCACTTTCTTGTCTCAAGATTGTGCATGCCATCAATTGTGTTCTCCCAATACAATCTGCATGAACTATTACAGTCTTTGATTTTTTCTTTTTCTCCTTCACCTGCAATGCTATAGAGAAAAGCTATAAAGCAGTAGTGAGTGTTCTGCCATCCAGTAATCTACAGTACCTAGGACTTCTTTTTAATCCACGAGGTTTTCCCACTATGCTAAAAAGGGGCTTTGCCATTACATTATGAGGTCTAATCTGGAACTTCTCAATAGAAATGATTATAGTTCATGGGGGCAGACACAAACAAGACCAGAACAAAATTCTCTTTGTAGTTATTTTGCTTGTGCAGAGTGGAGTTTTATTTTATGCTCTTTTATTTTTTCCTCTGTGCTGAAGCCTCACCATTGCTCTGCCCATCAAAGAATACAAATAAGTGCTACTAGTCTATTTGAAAATTTCCTGGTTGGCAAGTAGCTTTATCAAAAGATGGTTCCATTTATTTTGGCACTGTTCTTCCAGTCACAAGGGTGACAATTAACCAACAAGATTTTTAATACACTTTTCTACAGTTCCGAACTTACTGTTTTCTAATGGTAAATTCAAGATCTTAAATTAAAAGGATTATGTACTGTTAATGAATAAACAAGGCTTAATTGCTCTCCTAAAAATAATACTTATATCTCTTTCTGAAAAAAAAATACATTTCTGCAGAAGAACAAAACTGTTAATTGATTGCATGTACTTCTGTACACATTTTCACCTAACATCCAGATGAAAACACATGCAAAAATAGGAGATAAAAAATAAAAATCTTATCGTGCCAGATTCATCACCAAATAAAACAACAGAAAACTCCTCTAAGACAGTGTGGGTTGCTTTGAGGTAACACATGCTTGATTACTTGGTGTAGCGTGTCTGAAATACTCACTATTACTCCTCTATCAAGATTAATTGAGTGGTGGAAGTTTTGGATGAATTCCTCAGAGAGAACCTTGTTTTGTTAAAGCAGCATGTGAACTGGTTGCTACTGTCAGCAGACAGCTTTACAGACCCTCATTATAGGGGGCCTAATTCATTACGTGTCAGAACTGATCTAGTAGAGAACCCCTTTCATCTCTCTTTGTATTAAAGTAATTTGTTCGTATCAGAGGAATCAAAGAAGGGGACTGCCTTTATATGAAAAAAATTAAATTGTTTGAGAACTGGTAAAGGCTTTCTTTGGCCATATATTTCTAAATCAAAACTATGAACATTAAACTGTAAAACTGAAGTGAACAGTAAAGGCTATTAAGTTATTTCATTGCTGCATTTGTGTAGGTTTTTTTATTTAAGTCTTACATCTCACAGGACAGATTTCCCCTGACCATGTTTGTGCACTAATATAAAAATGATTATCTAAACATTCATAACATTTGTTTTTTTAGATTAATTAAAATTGTATTTCAGAAATAGGTTAGAATTAAAAAATTATCACAGTCCTTGTACATGAAACTTTAAAAAAATGAAGTATGACTATGAATTGTATTCAAAGAAAAAAATCTAGACATCACATACGGTCCTGTTTTGTAAGTAATAGTGTGTGCCTTGTGAACTTGCACTTTCCACTCTCTCCCAGTGAGTAAATCACAGACGATAAAGCATTGTTTCAAATGCATTAATAAATCAAGAAAACTGTGTTAAAAGCACATTTTACATTCACTTAATAAAGATTCCCCATTACAATAAGAGTAATGAATTGGCAAACTGGTAAAAAAAAAACAGTATTAGAATGTGCAAAGTTAAAAAAAAATATTACAGTAAAGGTTAAAGTAATAAAAGGATTTTTCAGTACAGTACTGAGCAGATATGTTTGCATCTTTCATGCATTAGTGTTTAAGGTACATAATACAAAGTTGAGGATGAAGGGACTTTTGTAAAAATAAATGTTAAAAAGAAAAAGAAATAACAGGTGACACAAATAAAATGTACATGATGCACTTAACAATATTTTATAATTTTTCAACTGTTGATACAGTATATGTAAATCGGCAACAAATGAAAATAAAATTAGAAAACTAAATTACACAATCAGGTCTTATTGTATGCATAGATTTAGAAACATGAAGCACAGACATGATCTAACCGTGAATTACAGTAGTAGTAGTATTAATAATAGTTCAGGTGGGTAGCTGCGTCAGCATGCGTAGGCTGCGTAGGCATGCCTTTGCCTCATATTCCCACACACCTGAAGGAGGCTTCACAGCTGAATTGTTGTGCCTTTTCTTCTTTATTTTGTATTTTTCATACTGGAATTGTCTTCCATGTTATTCCATTACAAATATATGTGTACCACTTAATAGAAAAATACTGCCACAGGTGTTTCAAGTGATGTCTTTTCTAGTTTAGATAAGCTTGCAGTTCAGTGTTATACTAGCTGTAATATGGCTTGACCAGCCCAACAAAAAGAGTGTTACTGTAATACTGGATGAAACAAAGGCATGGACTCCTGCCTCAACATCACATAAAGGGAAAAAATCTGTCTGTCAGCATTTCTTAAGTGGTACACATATATTTGTAATGGAATAACATGGAAGACAATTCCAGTATGAAAAATACAAAATAAAGAAGAAAAGGCACAACAATTCAGCTGTGAAGCCTCCTTCAGGTGTGTGGGAATATGAGGCAAAGGCATGAGTAAGGAAGACAAGAGAATTTGAGATTGGGTACAGGGTGATAAAGTCTAAAGAGATGTAAATCTCAAATTGGATGGGGAAATAAATCTGGAAATAAATTAGTCAATCCTTTAGATCAGGGGAAGTTGTGAACCCAGTTTAAGGATAATGTTGACTTCTGCTTCTTTCTGGTCAGTGTAATCGTGGCCAAGGAAGGTAAAATGGGCAATAGTCTTGAATCCTCACTGCTCTTACATGAAACAGCTGAACATAAACAGAAACAGCTGGCCAGTCTTCTTCCAACACATTTATTACATATTTAATGTAAATGTCAAGGCACTGTCTGCAACAGAAGTTTGGACAAACACAATGACCTCTCTAGGAGACTTTAATATGACCAGAAATTCTGTCTGTATTTGTATGAGGTGCCGTTTAGGCCATAATTCAAACTTTACCTCTTATACACACACAAATTGCTCTCATATACAGTACACACAAAATGCTCTCACACTCCATTTTACCTCTAAAATGTATTTATTTCTTGAATAATTATGGTGTGACATTACATTTTCTTGGTTGCTTTTTGGGTGTGATTATTTTAGGAAATAACATATCTGGAAAAGACCCCTATTTCCTCTCTGCAAGTATTGTAACTGGCCCCTTGAACACTTGGGTATGTGATTGTTTCAGATGTGATGCAAATAAGCAGTTAGATGAGTGCTCTGAGCTGGCTCAAATGGTTGCCTGTACTGGATGTCTCAGTGTTTGATTCCTGCCAACCTGGAGGGTTTGGTTTTATTGATTAAATAAATTTGTGTAAAAAGTTGTATATTCTCATGCAGCTTCTCAGTCTCGGCCTCTGTGGTCCTTAACAAGCCAATGTTTTTTGTTTATTTGTCTTTTGCAGTATTCTCCATCCAGCTAGGCTTCATGCTTTTAACGTTTCTCTTTTCTACAGGGTAAGTATTGCTGTTACCTTTGAGCACACTGCACTCCTCCATGCTGTGTTTAAAGCAGCCGTCATGTTCCACACAGCCCCTTGTTGCATCTTGCAGGGCAAGATTGACAGCTTCCTTGCTGGATCGATGGGTGTTTTTTCTTCTTCTCTTCCAGGAAGAAGTCAGGTTTCACTCCAGCAGACACTGTGGCGATCATGTTTTGTGCTACACACAAATCCCTCACTTTAGGTAGGTGGATCTCACTTTTCCTATCTAAGGTTAGTATTTTTTTGTTTTCTGTCCCAGGCTGATGGAGCTACAGTATCACACAGCATGAGATTTTCATCTTTGCAGTCAATACTTTCATCCTATCTTGCTCTCTTTGGCAACTTAACAGTATGTAAGAGCTCTGAAACACATTTGGTGAATAACTGGAATGCTATGGATATTTGGCCTTGAGAATTCACCAGCAATGAATTATTTGCCCCATTTTATTAATGCCTCTACAAGGAAGGAAACATACAGTAGGTGGATCTGAATGTTCAGTTCTGGACAGCAGAATATGTTGACAAGTTAAAACCCCTTAAAAGACTCTGGAGTCCATTATAAGCCAAGCATTGATGCTGAATGTCATGACTGGAGATCAGTGGATTGTTAGCTTATCTATGTAGAATGCTCATTAACATTGTGAATCAAAGGAGATATTTTTATAAGATAATTATACAAATACGAAGTACAGAAATAGTTTTGTAGTCTCTGGAAAAAAAAAACCTTTGACCTTCATTCGTCATACTTCGTACTTCTTTTGTTCAAGACAGAAGTCAGAGAGGATTTTTTTTTCCTCTTGACTGGCCATTGTTTTTAAATAAGTTGTGCATTTTTCATAGGACCATTGTATATTAAGGGTATTTAAGTGACAGAAAGAATGAATTTTCTTGAGTGTATTCTGAAATATTTATCAACTTTTGCAATAAACCGTACTCATGTTAATTAGAAAAGTGTGTGCAGTATCTAGTGGAAAGACTGTGGATTGATGACTAGGTAGAGAAGCAGTAAAAAAAATAAGTTTAACACTTGTCCTGTGTTGTGACTCACAGTAGGTAATCTCTACTGCTAATACAATTATACATCTGTGTTGTTTTTTTCTGAGTTGGTTTGACGTGTTTTTTTATAAAAGCTAACATTACAGCTAGAAAAAGTACTTTTAGCAAAAGTTGTTTTTTCTGCCTAATAATCAAAAAAGAAATGGACACGTTTTTAAATTCTCTTTTAAATTGAATGCTATCGATACTTTTATTTTTTGCACAGTGAAATAGATACTGATTATGCAGTATTCCACATTCTGTGCTGATTAACCTTTTTATTAAAATATCTGGGGCATAAAGAGTTCATTAAATATTAACATGTGCACTAAGAGTTATTAAAAATTGAAAAACCCTAAATTGTATTAACCTATAGTAATATATTGTCTTCTTGTGAGCAAATTGTGCCTTTTCAGCACATTGAGGGGTTTTTGACTGCCAAGCAATTCATAAAGTTTTTTTCCCTTTCTTTTTATACTGTATACTTTTGACCTTATACTTTCTTTGTGATTTTTAGATGATATTTGTATCTTTTATCACTTTAATGGTGGAAACATTTATGACTTTTTATAACTGAGAAAATACAACAATGACTGATGGCATAATATGCATGTTTTGATCATTTTTTATTATTGTTATGCCTTTTAACATGACTGCTAGTGGAGATCATAACTGTGGAGAGAGGACCACAGAGATTGATAAAGGAATGAAATGACTTAAGTTCCATATTCAGCACTAGGCTGTCCCATTTTACATATTTTACATTATTGTTAATACTAATAACAGGCTTTAAAGCCAACTTCTTATAATAGCCATTTTCTAAAGCAAATTTTTTCATATGCATTTTAAAACTATATTGTTGGGTCCAATTTAGAGATTGGGTATTTGACTTCCAGAATAATAAGTGCCAGAGGAAAAATGTTTTATGAAAGCTAGCTTAGTGAAGAAAATCACCATTACCTTTTATCCTTTCTTTCAAACTTAGAAATTCCCAAATATGTTTCTGTTGTTGTTTTTTTTGTTCTGAGAAACAAAGGGTTAAATATCGCCTGGCGTTTTTACCTGAGAACAGAAAGGAGTTATTTTTAAAACAATGCAAGAAGGTAGTACAGTATTTCATCCTCAAGAACATTTAAGCCCCATCATGTGTAGTGTTTACAGGTGAAATTGGAAGTGTTAATGTTGTACTGTGTGAATATTCTGGTATACAGCCAATGGTGTTCATGCAAACCGTTGTCACCAGAGCTGGTACACAATAGTACAGCAGGGTGGCACGTAACGCAGTAGTCACCCTTGATGTAAAGCAGTCAATTATAAAAACTTTGGAATACCTAAAAAACTTTGCCTTTCAGGACCTTTCATCAACTACTAGATACCAGATTTTGTTTTCATTCTTGGGTTTAAGTGCTTTGTATCATCACAATACAATAATCAAGTTTATTTTTCATATTAGGAATGTTCGCTGTTTATCTCGTACAAGCAACAGGGTGATATACTGTATGAAAGAGGCAGAATATGCAGTATTAGACTGAGCTACTTAAGGGAAACTGATGGTTGATTTGTTTAACAATAATGTTTTTCTTTGCGAATGCTACTCCTTTTAGAAACAGAAAGACTCTTGTCATCCTTTTCTGAAAAATTTGATACTTAATGACCAATCTTTGAAAACAGTATTTTATACAATATGAGAAGTGTTTTTATTTATTATTTGCAGAACACTGCACTTCCTTTTACAATGTATCCCACTCCCAACTCCCAGTGAAAAGTAGTGTGCACTATCTGTAGTTTTCTTTTTCATGCAAAAACAAAGAACATTGGTTTTATTCACAAAGCTTCAAGGCTTTGAAAGTCATGTTGTAACTGTTCTATAAGTATTATTTTACAAATTTATATTGACCATATTGAATGCCTTTATGAGCAGCTGCTGCTCTCTGACAGCAGTAACAGAATATTTAAAATGCTTTTTAAGGTTACTTCTCTCCTCCTTTTATCTCATTTTATCTAGTAGCATACATTTGTAAAGACTTTCTGTTAGCACAGATGTTACTAAAAATCTGTGTGGAAAAAAAACCTAGGTTTCTGGTTGTTTTATTAAAATATTGTTTCATTAAAAATATTTTTAAATATAACAAAGTTTTTTCAAACAATGCCAGAGTGAAAATCAAAAACTAAATGAGCTTTACAGGATAAATATTGTTTTTCTGCAGTTTCTCTGGGAACTCCGCAGACAAGCAGAGGAGCCTCCCAGGAGTAGTTTATAATCTTAAACACATAAGGGGCAAAAGATCTCTCATTTCCATTACGGTCTGGCCTTTATAGAGTTAATGGTGGTGCTAATATGTTCTTAAGCAAAATGTGATTCATGGCTTTCATTAGTACGTGTGCCAGGATGTCTTTTCTTTTCTCCCCTCTTTTTATTTAATGATTGCCTGGAGATGAGGTGGCACAGTTGACCCTTAATCATGAGGTTGGGCATTGATGTTGAAGTTGAGCTATGGAAGGACACAGCCCAGCTGGTAACTCTTCATAATCCAACTCCCAGGAGTTTGTTAAGCAAGAGGGTCAGCCCCCGGGGAATGCGGCGCCTCCGTCGTGGATAATTTAATAGAGCCCCTCTAGTCTTTGTTTGCTTCCACCCTCATAAATATCTATTCTTCAGAACAATATTAGTTCAAGAGAAGCAGCTGGTTAGGGTGGAGGTCGCAGGCTCCCACCTTTGAAATCAGCTCATCTGAGTAATAGGTTCATGTTTGTAGAACAGTCAACAATAAATAAATTACTGCTTTCCTCATGTAGGAAGAAAAGGGGAATTACTTTTGTTTTCAGTGCAGACTGCAGGTAGAGCAAGGTATTATTTCTGTCTTAAGCGTGATTCCTGGGATAATTTGAATAATTCACCAATAACGTGATGATGTAAAATGATTCTCATGTCCTGTTTAAAAATGCAGTGGCAAATACACCAGTTACTCTCTTGTCTTCTCCTCTGGTTGTACAAGCCTCCGTGATAAACGGCAGATGTTTTCTCGTCTAGAGAGCTGCTCTGGTGCATTCGTTCTGGGTTTCATCCAAGGAAACCTTGGTTTGCCAAATAGAAAAGGATTAAATCTAATCCCCTGCAATTGTAGCGCTGGCCTTTGTCCTCAGTGCTTGTGAAGCGACTGTGCTGTGCTTGGCTTCCTTTCGAGAGATCAAAAGGTTAGGCTAACTCAAATGATCGAAGTGACTAGGCCTCAGACGTGGTCTCGAATGCATATATTATGTTAGGCAAATGTTTAGCAAAATGTCACTCTCAGGTGCTGTCAACAGAGACTGAAAAACGTTTTTTTTTATATATGTAGGGAGCTGGTTCTGTGGCCATGTGTGTAACAAGCTTTCATTTCCAAACAGTAACCCCGAGGAGGCCCTTCACACCTGCCCCTGCCACACTGGCATTTCAGGGATCCGAGAGGGGCGCGGGCTGTTTCAACAGCAGGTCTACCCCCAAGCGGACTGCAGCTATTTGAAAACAGCATGTTTGTTTTTCGCAGATTTTTAGCGCTTGTACTTTACTCACAGCCGAGCAGCACATGAAATGCTGTCTTTGGTACTTAGCACAAATGTGAAGTTGACGACTTGTTACATTTAAAGACTAACGTTGCTATATGTATACAGGCTTCTTTTTGCCCTAAGTGACTAGATGGAGAAGTATAATAATTTCACAAAAAGCTCTTTTGATGCCTGGTGGGCAGGATAATTGACATCATAATAGAAACTAGTATCCCGAAGGTGGCCTATAGTGTCCTAAAACAGAAAACAGTAAGAAGGGAAAGGTATGGTTTGTTCCTTCACAATTGTCATCTGTATAGTATGGTCTACAGTACATATTGCCACTAGATGCCTCCAACCTTTGAAATCAGATGTGCAATGGCTTCTGTAAATCAAATTGAAAGATGCAGTCTTGTAGCCTTTCCATTAAAAATTCCCTCTAAACAAATAAGATTTTGCTGTGTGCAAGTGTTACATTTCTACATTTTTGGTGCCTTAAGCTCTGCTCTCTAAATGAGCATTTAGATACACTTCTGTACTTTTTTGCCAAAAGGGGTATCAAATGAATTACTATAGGCTGGCATTTTCAATAAAAACATTTTTTTAAAAGACCCATAATTTGCATTTAAAAGCAATACAAGA